TCCTGCCAACCTAGCAGTTCGAAAGCAAGAAATTGCAAGTAGATAAATAGGTACCACTTCGGTGGGAAGGGAACAGCGTTCCGTGCGCCTTGGTGTTTAGTCATGCCGGCCACATGACCACGGAAACGTCTTCGGACAGCACTACGTCTCTAGTTCCAGCTCCTGCCAACCTAGCAGTTTGAAAGCAAGAAATTGCAAGTAGATAAATAGGGACCACTTCGGTGGGAAGGGAACAGCGTTCCGTGCGCCTTGGTGTTTAGTCATGCCGGCCACATGACCACGGAAACGTCTTCGGACAGCACTGGCTCTTCGGCCTGGAAACGGAGATGAGCACCGCAACCCTAGAGTCGGACTGGCTTTTGAGCAAGGGAGACCTTTACCTTTACTATTATGCCAAAAAAGTCTCCAAAGACCAGAAGTTTATTTCTCCGATATTTCCGTTTACTGGAAGAAATTCAAACGCCATCGACATAACGGACCATGCACATTATCTCGTTTCGTGTATAACTTTTTCAAGGTGAGTAGCTGTCAGCTACGCTGCCATGAGTGTGGAGATGTTTTCTAATTGCTTTGCATTCCTTCCCATGCGCTTAATTGCGTCAGAGCTGTAACGCTTATCTTTGATGTTGTACTGGTGGAGAATGTGGTGTCTATCGTCCGTGGGAGCTTCTCCGTTCCCAGCTTCGCAACTGTTAGAGAGTCCAGCAGTCTCCCGCGGGCGGGAGCACACCTAATTGGTGATTGCTGGGGGGGGGGCGCATACGAATGCCCTATATCCTATTATGTGCATAGATATCTCGCCATTCCTAACAGTGTTCATGTTATCGCATCCAACGTTCCCTCTAAGCTGTGGACTCTTGTGAGCAAAAATTCTACTTTGTGAGCTGCTGGCATTAAAGTTGTGAGCGAGCGATTTGGCTGCTGGATAAACTAGTTTGCTCTGGAGCCGTCCTTCCTGAGCCAAGACAGAAAATGTGTGAGCCAGAGGCTCAAAAACTGTGAGCCAGCTCACACTAACTCAGCTTAGAGGGAACACTGATCGCCTCTATGGCTTTTCAATAAAAGTAAAACCTTCCTGGAAGCGTGTACTTCATTGCTTAGCTGCGGGTCCTGACAGTAGCGTTGAAATACAATATTAATCCATTTGACAAACTCTCCAGGGGTCTCTCATAGTGACACTAATGGTTTTGAGGACTGTCACTATGAGACACTATGAAAAAGTTATACACGAAACGAGATAACAGGCAGGATCCGTTGTGTTGATGGCGTTTGAATTTCTTCCAGTAAACTGAAATATTGGGAAAAGAAATCTCTGGTCTTTGGAGACCTTTTTGGCGTAATACATCACGGCTGTTTGCTTCATTCCAAACTTCCATCCCGTGATCTCTCTCTTTGTTTTGCACCACCAGGAGTCTGTCAGTTCTAACGAGCAGAGAGTTTCTGTTCCACAGATCTAGGATTAGGATGCAGCCATTAATAAAGACTTAGTCTTTGGTCTAGCTTCCTTTTGTTAAGTGCTCAGACCTTAGCATATGCCTGTCCCCGTAATCCATAAACTACCTTGTAAATTGGGCTAGTTTTATCACCCCAACCTGGGGCTGCCAGGTCCCCCCCCCATCCCTTCCCCCGGACTACCCCTCCCTGCTCTCCGATTCACGCTCTAAACGCCTTCCCTTTGCCGTCCCCCAAAACGGAGAGCGCACGCTTCTTACCCGAGCCAGCAGGGTGTCCCCAATCTCTGAAACCAGAGAGTTGTTTTCCTCCCTGAGTTTCTTCAGCCTTTCTAGGAACAGTTCTGAGGACAGACAGACACAGAGAGATAAAGCGAGACCGCCCAAGTTGATGGCCATCCTGAGGCCCCATCAATATCGTGTGTGTACACAGCTCAAAAGATGGGGAAGACAATGGATACATTTGAGGTTGTCAACTGCCTGGAGAAAAATGGAATGTTCGTTGCCTCTATGTCCTGAAAAGCTGAAAACAGAGCCAGTTTGGTGTAGTGGTTAAGTGTGCGGACTCTAATCTGGGAGAACCGGGTTTGATTCCCCACTCCTCCACTTGCACCTGCTGGTGTGACCTTGGGTCAGTCACAAGCTCTGGCGCAGCTGTTCCTGAAAGAGCAGTTTGTGTAAAAGTTCTCTCAGCTCCACCCACCTTACAGGCAATGTTCCCTCTAAGCTGTGGAGTCTTGTGAGCAAAAATTCTACTTTGTGAGCTACTGGCATTAAAGTGGTGAGCGAGTGATTTGGCTACTGCATAAATTAGTTTGCTCTGGAGCCATCCTTCCTGAGCTGAGACAAAAATGTGTGAGCCAGAGGCTAAAAAACTGTGAGCTAGCTCACACTAACTCAGCTTAGAGGGAACACTGCTCACAGGGTGTCTGTTGTGGGGAGGGGAAGGGAAAGGAGTTTGTAAGCCGCTCTGAGACTCCAAGTGAAGGGTGGGGTATAAATCCAATCTCTTCTTCTTCTTCCTGTTTTCACATTGGACATTCTTCTCCGGGCCCGTTGGCAACCCTAGATACACTAACAGGCCCTAGGGTAAGGAGGCATGGGGGGCACTTAGAGCTCGGGGGTTTGGGGAGGGGAGCCCTCTGAGGGGTCATAATGCCAGAGTCCACCTTCCACGGCAGCACTTTTCGCCAGGGGAACGGATATCCATCGTCTGGAGACCAGCTGCAATTACTGGAGATCTCCAGCCACCGCCTGAAGGTTGGAAACCTTAAGTACACTGGAGCCAGAGAAACACCATTTTGGGCCCTAGCTGTGTAGCTGTCTGTTGCTTACGTAAGCCAACACAGTTGAGTAACTCCATAAAGAACCCTTTCTGTCCATGCCTTATTTGGGAATCCAAGATGGGCTGCTAGACCCCCGATCCCTGTACACACACACACACCGCCAAAACAAAGGCTCTTTGAGAACGCCCTGGAAGTCAGAAAGGCCTTTCTTAGAGGACTCAGGGCTCTTTTTGGGGAAACGACGACTGAGGGATGATATGATAGAGGTTTACAAAATTATGCATGGGGTAGAGCAGGTAGAGAAAGAAGTGCTTTTCTCCCTTTCTCGCAATACAAGAACTGGTGCGCACCCAATGAAATTAAGGAGCAGTGGGCTTAGAACAGATCGAAGGAAGTCCTTCTTCACCCAAAGAGTAATGAACGTGTGGAATTCACTGCAACGAAGTGGGGGCGGCTACAAGAATAGAAAGCTTCAAGAGGGGATTGGAGAACCATGTGGAGCAGAGGTCCATCAGTAGCTATTAGCCACAAGGTACAGATGGAACACTCCGTCTGGGTCAGTGGTGCTCTGTCTTCTTAGTGCTTGGGGGGGCCACAGTGGGAGGGCTTCTGGAGTTCTGGTCACGCTAGGGGACTTCCCAATGGTCCCTGGGTTTTGGCCACTGTGTGACACAGAGTGTTGGACTGGATGGGCCGTTGGCCTGATCCAGCACGGCTTCTCTTATGTTCTTATGATCCACGGTCTGCTATGAAATCTACACCCAGGAAATTTTGTCAGTCTCTTCAGGTCCTAATGGATTCAAACCTAATGATTGAAATGGCTCAAGTGTTGAATTGTTTTTATCTTGATGTAATTTATGACCGTTGTACATCGCTCAGAGTCCTGAATATTCAGGGACGGAGTGATCCACAAATCAAAATGATAAATAAATGACACCGGCGATTATTAATACAGAACCATCATTCCAGACCAATAAACCTGAAGCCCATGGGTTTGGGGGGGGGCTTCCCCACTGCCCCCGCTCTTACTGTGTTCATCGACCAAGTCTTCTAAGCTGGGGAAGATGTTTTCCAGGTCAGTGGCCCCAAAGAAGCCTTCGGTCAGCAGAGGTTGGTAGAAGACCTCCAGCAGCACCCGCAGCATTCGCACGTGGGCATGCTCTGTGATGAACAACTCTGGAGGTGGAGGGAGAGCAGGAGGAAGGTTAGAGCAAGGCTATACTTCTATACTGCCTATATCAGGGCTCCCCGGCACGGTGCCCGCCAACAACTTTCCTAGAGACCTTACAAGTGTTTCTAGACAAAGGGTACTGGACCAGGTGGGGCTTTTCCCAGCAAAGCTTCTCACTCGCCATTGAAAGTCTGATTGGCTTTGCCGATTTTTAAAAACGTTGCTTTGGCAGCAACTGCCACCACAGCCCTCTCTGGCTCCAACTCCTGTGGCAGCCATTTTGTGGTTGGCTCCAACTCCTGCGGCAGCCATTTTGTGGCTGGCTCCAACTCCTGCGGCAGCCATTTTGTGACTGGCTCCAACTCCTGCGGCAGCCATTTGGTGGCTGCGCCCAACACACGCTGTGTCAACATTCCCAGTAACAGTGCCTCCCGCTGAGAAGGGGACAGCCCTCCTCTGTAGCTCAGAAGGAAATAATTCAACTCTGCCTCAGAGATGACGAATTCCCCTTCCCTTGCCTTTAACTGTTACATTTCCCATACTCCCGTATAATTCTGAGGAGAAGTACCCCCTCCGGGATCCGGGGCACCTCACGTACCGTTGATCACCTCTTGCCGCTTCACTTCACTTTTCTTCAGCCTGAGGAGGGTATCGGGGCCGACGAGCTCCCGCCAGTTCGGCGGTTCGAGCTCCAGTTCCGAAACACGCGGCTCATTCTCCTCAGACTGGGGAAGCAGAAAGGACGGCGGGGGCTCCCCTCCCCCAGCCCCTCCTGGTTCCAAACTACGTGAGTCAAAAAAAGAGATAAAAAGACATGCAAAGATAATTAGGACCGGCCTACACAAACATAAAGCCAGGTTAAATATCGAGGCCCCATCCCGGAGCCCTGACATCTGCCGCTGACACAAAACTACACTTCCCTGAGAGAAGCCACAACTGTCAAATCTGGACAACGCCCGTTTAAAATCTGTGGTGAGGATCTACCCCGGGTTTCCAAAATGGCTGCTGTAGAACTCCCAAAGATTCCCTTTAACAAAAGGCTACGAAACAGACAGTCGGAAGTGTACCGCATAGAGTTCCAAAACGGACCCTTCTTTTGTCCCTCGCGCATCCAACTCTTATAAATTTGCGTTTCTTGGGAAATTCAAAAATTGTCGGCAGTGAGAGTAAAGTGTTTTTGATGCAGCCCTTTCCCGTTTCTGTTGCCCAAAGCAACTGGTGGTAATATTTTCAGTGGATATGTTCCATTTAAACGGCTTTTCCATTTTTAGGTAAAGGTAAAGATTCCCTTGCTCGAAAGCCAGTCGAATCCGACTCTAGGGTTGCGGTGCTCATCTCCGTTTCAAAGCCGAAGAGCCAGCGCTGTCTGAAGACATTTCCATGGTCATGTGGCCGGCATGACTAACGTCATTTTTACTTATGACTAATTATCCCAGAAGGAACTTAATAGGGTTCACTACAAGATATGGTCAATGTTTGAAACTTCGCTCCATGAATATGCCAAGATTGTTAAACAGAGCTTCCATGGAGATTGGCAGTATACCCTCAGAGTAATAGACGCTGGGAACATACACGGGCAGGCAGTTAACTTTCCTGGCAAACAGAGCACTGGATTTGGCTGGATCCAGCAATGCAGTTCTAACAAGGTATCCTTACTGCTGTTATGTTTATTTGAACAAGGGGGTGTTATTGTAGTGTAAATGCTAAAAGAACCGGCGGTCGCTTATTGCATTTTGCCCTGGGCAGCTTGAAAAAAAAAGTGTGGATTATTCGTGGAACTATTTCTATCCTCCAAAGCAGGGAAAAAAATTGGTTGCCTAGAGTGACTTTTTTGCAATGGCTGTAGCCTCTACCCTTGCTTAGTCCCAGTGAAGAGATGTGAGTAGTTTAATTCCCACAAAAGGGACTTGGAAGACTGTAATGCCATAGTTAACTACGTCACAGCCTCCAACGGGCAGCCCTGTGCTGTTTGTAAAGGGTTAAAAACAGTCACACGAAGCGGCTCCTGGTTTTTGGCCAGTGTGTGACACAGAGTATCGAACCGAATGGGTCACTGGCCCGATCCAACATGGCTTCTCTTCTGCCTTCATGACTTACACTGAATCACACCATCAGTCCATCAAAGTTAGTATTTTCTACTCAGACTGGCAGCGGCTCTCCTGGGTCTCAGGCTGAGGCCTTTCTCGTCACCTACCGCCTGATCCGACTGAACCCGAGACGTTCTGCATGCCAAGCAGAGGCTCTCCGGGGTCTTAAGCAGAGCCAGGGCTCTTTTTGTAGAAAAAGCCCAGCAGGAACTCATTAGGATAATAGGCCACACCCAACAGCAGGAACTCATTAGCATATTGGGCCACACCCCTGACAGCACAGCTCATTAGCACATTAGGCCGCACCCCCATGTTACCAGAAGTGTGGTTATCCAGCCACACCCACCTTTTGCTTCTTATTCTGTTTACCTTGTTTGTTGTCAAAACCCAGGGCCTTTTTTTGTAGCAGGAACTCCCTTGCATGTTAGGCCGCACACCCCTCATGTAGCCAATCCTAATGAGTTTCTGCTGTTGGGTGTGGCCTATTATACTAATGAGTTCCTGCTGGGCGTGGCCAACTTGGGAGCCAGCCGGAACTCCGTTCCTGTGCGATCCTGCCCCAAAAATAACCCTGGGAGATTTTCACATCACCTACCGCCTGGTCCATAACTGGGGATGTTGAGAATTAAACCTGGGGCCTTCTGCACGCCAGGCAGATGCTCTGCCACTGAGCCACAGCCCCTCCCTTAAAGCATTTGCAGCGCCCCAGTTGGAACTTCTTTTCAGAGGGGGCATCACAGGTCCCCCCCCTTCACCTACTTGCGGCTCCCCTGCTTGTGCCGAGCCTGATCTAGGGACGGCATCTTCTCCAGCTCCTTGGCCCGAGCAGCAGCCTCGATGTCCACATCGCTCCGGGAGCGCGGCTGCTTGCCCTTGGCAGAGCCCCGCTGGGACCGCTTCCGCTCGCAAACCCGTAGGCTCTCCGAGCGGCCCAGCTTTGACGTCAGCCTGGCGGGGGAGGAAGGGGGGGCCGGGCCGGGCCACAGACAGGACAGGGGACGCAGACCGACCAGAGGCAAGGGGCCAGCGGAGGGAAGGTGGGGTCGGACGAAACCACAGGGAGCGATGGGATGAGCCACAGAAACGTGGGAAGGGGCCACAGATCAACCACGAGAGACACAGAGGTGGGGCAAAGCACCACCGTTTACGTTTGCAGCAGGGACCAAGAGGAAAAGAGGTGTTTGTGCGTGCACAGGGGAGGGGGGAATCACGACAAATGAGAGTGAGAGCGGAGCAAACACCCAACGGGAGGTAAGACGTTAGCACGTGCAGTGGTGGGAAGGAGAAAAAAAGAAGAAAAGAGGGGAAAAGATGTGAGAACCCATAACCAGAGAGAGATATCCATGCACTAGAACAGGTGAGGGGGCATTGGGGGTCAGGCCGAATCCCTCATGCAGGCCATGCAGGGGCGTGAGAGACACCCAGAGAAGAGCCATCACCCAGGGAACAGAGGCAAAAGCGTCACTGATTCCCAGGAGGGCTGACCCCGCCCCCAAGGCATTGCAATAAACAGGAGAACCTGCAGGGGGCAGCAAATAACTCCAGTTCACCCCTCTGCACACCTCAAGGGATGGGGAACCGAGCCCGACGTGAAATGGGGGGCACAGTTTCATGAGCCGGTTGCGGCGGGGGGGGGGATACTTAACTCGGTTTACGTGTCTCTCCCTGAGGAAGAAATTCATGCAAAGGGTGAGGGGGTGGGGTAGCCACCAACCTTTTTCGCCTTCTAGAAGGAAAACAGCAGAACAGAGAAGGGTGATTCGGTTAGCGTGCCGGGAGAAAAGGAAAGGGGAGCGCGTGAGGAGGGGGTCGCTATTGTCGTACAAGCTACGGAAGCCGAGAAAAGCTCCCTTCCACTTCAAACGCACACGCCGGAAGTGAAAAGAGGGAAGAACGGAGGACTCTAAAATAGGGGAGAAAAGCCAGATTGTTTCCTAAGTGTAAAAAGGCTGGAAGTTTCTTCCAACCGGGTGCAAGTCACAAGGGCTTATCTTCTTACTGCAGACCATCCATCCACCCATTGGCTCTGCTCGCGCAGCGTATCGTACAGATTTCCAATCCACGCCTCAATGTGCTTTCCAGAAGTGGGAAGGGCGGAGTGCATTCACCTGAACCCCGCTCCCATTCCCCTCCCGCCGGCCCCCTAATGGGCCCAGCATCCCCCCCTCCACTCACCTTTCATTTTCGGCCCCATCATCCGTCAGGGGCTGTTCCCCAGCGACGGGCTGCTCGATTACCGGGGAGTCCCCTGAATCCGCTTGGGCCTGACTGTCCGGTCCTACAGGGAACGACAGAAGCGTCAGTGGACAGGAAGAGGAATTTCACCCCGTCTTCCTTCGCGTTTCGGCCTCCTGGTTCCTCCTGTCTCTCACCCTGTTCCCCGTCGTTGCTCTCTCCGGCCGGGGGGTGAACGCTGACAGACACGCCCGAAGGGTCTGACACAGATGAGGCCCCCTTGCCACGCCCTGAAATCCCCTCGGCAACCTTGGCCCCTTTCCTGTCCAATGCGGGCGTCTTCTCACCTGCTAGAGGTACAAGTTGTAGAAGGGAACGAAAGTCAGGAGAGAGAGAGAGAGAGAGAACGAGGGTTCATAACCCCCCTCCGCCAATATTTTCCCAATGCACGGTCCTCTCGCCCCTCCCCGCAGCATCTCAGGGCTCCGCTCCCATCTCGAGGGGTTATGCACAGATTAAGGTTCGCGCCGTCATGTCTGACTCGAGGCGGTGGTTTCGTTTACTCCTAGGTAGACCTGGTATCCTCCCTCCGAACAGCGGTCGGAGTTAATTCTGCAGAGGTAATTGAGAATCTGCCCTGATCTCGTCAGATCTCGGAAGCTAAGCAGGGTCGGCCCTAGCTGGTGCTCAGACAGGAGACTATCAAGGAAGGACGGAGGCGCTATGCAGAGGCAGGCAATGGCAGAGCACCTCTGCTTGTCTGTTGCCTTGAAAACCCATCAGGGTTGCCGTCAGTTGGTTTCGACCTCACAGCACTTTCCCCCACCAACTGAGAATCTTTTGTTGTTGTTCAGTCGAGCAGTCGAGTCCGACTCTTCGCGACTCCATGGACCAGATCACACCAGGCCTTCCGGTCTTCCGCCGTCCTCTGAAGTTGGCTTAACTTCATGTTCGTTGCATCTATGACACTGTCTAACCATCTCATCCTTTGCCATCGTTCCCGTCTTCTTTGACATTCAATCTTTCCCAGCATCAGGGTCTTCTCCAGTGAGGGCTCCCTTCTCATTGGGTGGCCAAAGTATTTGAGCTTCAGTTTCATTATCTGGCCTTCCAGGGAACAGTCAGGGTTGATTTCTAAGTGCAGCACAGGATTTTTTAAAAAAAAAATTTTTTAAGGAGGGGAAAAAATCTGCAACCGGATAACTCAAATTTTGTGCTGGCAAAAGAATCTGTTGTATTTTGCCGGCTTCTGCTAGCCAGTGGCCTACACCAAGCAAGGATACCTTGACTCTTGACCACTGGATGGGGTTGGTTCCAGATATTCTTGGCTTCCCATACCAGGAGACCCCCTTAACGGCCAGGAGGGCTGGAGGTACAGTGTGTAAGGTGAAATGGGTGGGGGGACACCAGAAGAACCTTCTAAAGCAGGGATCCCCAACCAATGTTCCCTCTAAGCTCCACAGTGTTTTGAGCAAAAATTCTACCTCGTGAGCAAAAAAAAAGCTAGTAGCATTAAAGTTGCGAGCGAGTCTACATTTGACTATTGTGTAAATTAAGTTTTTTAGATGATTATTTCCATAACCTTGTAAAAATGTCAGAATGAATTAGAAAGCTCCCCGGATTTGCATAGGCTCAAGGCTCACAGCTCTATTCGGTCGCAGAGATGAACAATTCTGGACAGTGCGTAGTCTCCAAACCGGAGTTCGCGCAGCCTGTAGCAGGGTCCTGAAACAGGGAGCCAGAACGCAGCAGGCGGAAAAGATTGCCCTGCTGACTGGGAAAGAGCAGAAGTCCAGGATCCTCGTACTGATGCTAGGCTTGCACTCTAAGGGCTACATGCTGCAAGCTGCGCATAGAGGTGGAATTGCACATCTCTAAGTATGCGCAATTCTAGCTAACTCACAGCCGCATAGAGCTGAAACTGTGCCTCTCTAAGTATGTGCAATTCTAGCTAACTCACAGCTCTGAAGCACCTGGTTCATGCGCCGCTCTCTGGATTGCGAAACACTGGCTGGACGTTTTCAAGCTCATAAGGACCAGAAACTTGGTATTTCAAAACCAAAATCCGACCACCTCAGGAAATTTCGTTTTCTGCACCCAGCCCCTAATACCAAGGCTTAGCAGGACTGCAGATACAAAGCCAGATGAATAGAGAGGGAAAGGGGCAGGACCAAATTAAGTCACCCCCCCAGGGGAAAAAAACCCACAAGCGCATAATTTGTGCATACGCCCTCGGAGAAAAGGATACAGCCCCGGAGTCCTACCCACACTGCCAAATGTCGAGACAACAGACAGTTCTCCTGGGACACACAGACAGACGGACACGCAACAAACAGCCATGACATGCCGAGAAATCTGTCCGACAACGCGGAGGGTGTGATCGACTCGTATCGGGCGCACTGTGTGATATGGATTAGTAGATGATTACCAGACAGAGGGCGACGTTATGTAAAAACTACGGACACAAAAGTTAGCGCCTCGGGTTATGAAAACAGGATGTATTAGTTTGAGGCGGCTCCCCCAACAGGCGGAAGGAGCCATGTGACATCACATTTGGGAGTGCCATGCATTATCGGGGGGGATCGGTTTCGGGAAGGGGTTGCTGGTACCTTCACCCTCGGGTTTGGGTTGTCTGTAATCAGAATCTACGACAAAACGCAGGAAGAGAAAGAAAAAAATAGCTGGAGGAGGAGGAAAACTGGATGGGAATGGACAAATGTGTCAATCAATCCCTTCCCAGGAAAAAGTAGGCCCGTGTCAAGTGAAAGCGAGAAACGTACCAGATGTACCACTCCACTGGTCTGCTGGCTGCAGGTCGGGCCAGTGTCTTTTTGTAGCAGGAACTCCTTTGCATATTAGGTGACACCCCCCCTAATATGCAAAGGAGTTCCTGCTACAAAAAGACACTGGCCCGACCTGCAGCCAGCAGACCAGTGGAGTGGTACATCTGGTACGTTTCTCGCTTTCACTTGACACGGGCCTACTTTTTCCTGGGAAGGGATTGATTGACACATTTGTCCATTCCCATCCAGTTTTCCTCCTCCTCCAGCTATTTTTTTCTTTCTCTTCCTGCGTTTTGTCGTAGATTCTGATTACAGACAACCCAAACCCGAGGGTGAAGGTACCAGCAACCCCTTCCCGAAACCGATCCCCCCCGATAATGCATGGCACTCCCAAATGTGATGTCACATGGCTCCTTCCGCCTGTTGGGGGAGCCGCCTCAAACTAATACATCCTGTTTTCATAACCCGAGGCGCTAACTTTTGTGTCCGTAGTTTTTACATAACGTCGCCCTCTGTCTGGTAATCATCTACTAATCCATATCACACAGTGCGCCCGATACGAGTCGATCACACCCTCCGCGTTGTCGGACAGATTTCTCGGCATGTCATGGCTGTTTGTTGCGTGTCCGTCTGTCTGTGTGTCCCAGGAGAACTGTCTGTTGTCTCGACATTTGGCAGTGTGGGTAGGACTCCGGGGCTGTATCCTTTTCTCCGAGGGCGTATGCACAAATTATGCGCTTGTGGGTTTTTTTCCCCTGGGGGGGTGACTTAATTTGGTCCTGCCCCTTTCCCTCTCTATTCATCTGGCTTTGTATCTGCAGTCCCGCTAAGCCTTGGTATTAGGGGCCGGGTGCAGAAAACAAAATTTCCTGAGGTGGTCAGATTTTGGTTTTGAAATACCAAGTTTCTGGTCCTTATGAGCTTGAAAACGTCCAGCCAGTGTTTCGCAGTCCAGAGAGCGGCGCATGAACCAGGTGCTTCAGAGCTGTGAGTTAGCTAGAATTGCGCATACTTAGAGATGTGCAATTCCACCTCTATGCGCAGCTTGCAGCATGTAGCCCTTAGAGTGCAAGCCTAGCATCAGTACGAGGATCCTGGACTTCTGCTCTTTCCCAGTCAGCAGGGCAATCTTTTCCGCCTGCTGCGTTCTGGCTCCCTGCTTCGGGACCCTGCTACAGGCTGCGCGAACTCCGGTTTGGAGACTACGCACTGTCCAGAATTGTTCATCTCTGCGACCGAATAGAGCTGCCCTCCCACTCTTGCCCCCCAAGCACCAGGAATACAGAGCATCACTGCCTCAGACAGAGACGTCCATCTATACCTTGTGGCTAACAGCAACTGATGGTCCTCTGCCCCATATGTTAGCAATGGGGTGTGTGTCTAATATTACTGGCCTACCTGGCCCAGGCTAAGCCGATCTTGTCAGATCTCAGAAGCTAAGCAGGGTCAGCCCTGGTTAGTACTTGGATGGGAGACCACCAAGGAAGGCCAAAGTAGGCAGGCGATGACTAACCACCTCCGAACGTCGCCTGCCTTAAGAACCCTACGGAGTCGCCATAAGTCGACTGCAACTAAGTCAGCATTTTCCACCACCACTATTCTTGCAGACTTGGAGAGGGGCCATGGCTCAGTGGCAGAGCATCTGCTTGGCATGCAGAAGGTCCCAGGTTCAATTCCCCTTGTCTCCAGTTAAAGGGGACCAAGCAGCAGGTGATGTGAAAGACCTCCCCCTGAGACCCTGGAGAGCTGCTGCCAGTCTGAGTAGACAATACTGATTTTGCCAGGTCAAATGTCTGATCTAGCGTAAGTCAGAAGAACTCGATTCAAGTCCAGTAGCGCTTTTCAGACCAACAAGATTTGGGGGGGCAATGCTCCCTCTAAGCTGTGGAGTCCTGTGAGCAAAAATTCTACTTTGAGAGCTACTGGCATTCAAGTTGTGAGCGAGCGATTTGGCTACTGTATAAATTAGTTTGCCCTGGAGCCATCCTATCTTAGCTAAGACAAAAATGTATGAACATAAGAACATAAGACGCCAATGTTGGATCAGGCCAAAGGCCCATCCAGTCCCACACTCTGTGTCTCACAGTGGCCAGAAATACCAGTGCCATCAGGAGGTCCACCAGTGGGGCCAGGACATTAGAAGCCCTCCCACTGTTGACCCCCCCCAAGCACCAAAAAGACAGAACATCACCTGCCCCAGAGCCCCTATCTATGCCTTGTGGCTAATAGCCACTGATGGACCTCTGCTCCATATGCTTATCTAATTCCCTCCATATGCTTATCTAATTCCCTTTTGAAGCCGTCTATGCTTGTAGCCGCCACCACTTCCTGTGGCAGTGAAATCCATGTGTATGAACCAGAGGCTAAAAGACTGTGAGCTGGTTCACACTAACTCAGCTTAGAGGGAGCACTGTTTGGGGGGGTATGAACCTTCAAGGGTCAAAGCTCTCTTCGTTGGATCTGGTGAAGGGAGTTTTGATGAAGAGAGATCTGACGAAGGGAGAGCCAGCTTGGTGTAGTGGTTAAGAGCAGCAGACTCTAATCTGGGAGAACCGGGTTTGATTCCCCACTCCTCCACACGAAGCCAGCTGGGTGACCATGGGTCAGTCACCGTTCTCTTGGAGCTGTTCTCTCAGGGACAGTTCTCGAAAGAGTTCTCTCAGCCCCACCTACCTCACAGGGTGTCTGTTGTGGGAAGAGGAAGGGAAAGGAGATTGAAAGCCACTCCGAGACTCCTTCAGGTAGTGAAGGGCGGGGTATAAAACCAAACCTCCTTCTCTCGATGCCTCTGCCAGTCCGAATCCTTTCATTCTCAAAAAGTAACAGAAGCCGAGAGTTTCAGGAAGCCAGTTTTCACACCCAGTTCTCAGGAATACCTCATTTAAACTGGTGGAAAGAACGGGTGTTCCCCTATCCGCCTGGTTTCTTAAAAAATAACTGAAAATTACCACAGTGAAAATCAAGAGCGCACACACACACACCCCATGCCCACCCCCTCCTCCTTCGCTTACCTTCTTACGGAAGAAGTTGGGTTTAGATTTCTTGCTGTCGGCTCCCTTGGTCTTAACCCCCAGGTATTTCATGTATGTCACGATGGCCGTGAAAATGGCAGAGCTGAGGGGACAGAACACAAAGGGGAGATGGAGGGCAGCAGGGCTCTTTTTGTAGAAAAAGCCCAGCAGGAACTCATTAGCATAACAGGCCACACCCAACACCAGAAACTCATTAGCATATTAGGCCACACCCCTGATGCCAGAAGTGTGGTCATCCAGCCACACCCACTTTTTGCTTCTTATTCTGTTTACCTTGTTTGTTGTCAAAACCCAGGGCCTTTTTTTGTAGCAGGAACTCCTTTGCATGTTAGGCCACACACCCCTAATGTAGCCAATCCTAATGAGTTTCTGCTGTTGAGTGTGGCCTATTATGCTAATGAGTTCTTGCTAGGCGTGGCCAACTTGGGAGCCAGCCGGAACTCCGTTCCTGTGCGTTCCTGCCCAAAAATAGCCCTGGAGGGCAGCAAGGAGACGGCGGAAAATTCGAAGGGGCTTGGCGGAAGCGCGGCCTGCTTTCCGTTCCAGTGTGGACTCCAGTGACCTCCCAAAGGGTGATGTAAATAAAGGGGGGAAAGGTCTCCCCGTATTACGACTGGTCCTTCTCTGAAAGTTCCCGTCCGTCCGCAAGACACTGAACAGGCGAAGTTTGACAGAGGAAAAGCTCTGCTTCCTCGATGGCGGGAGAGCAGCACTCTGCGCATGCTCAGAGGAATTTGCAGAAGATTGGTCAGGATTCAGATGTCGTTACCACTGTCGATTGCAAAAAGAAAAAGAAAGAAAAGCCTAAAACTGTAATCCAAAAGTTTTAGTCAAATTACAGATATTACAAAAATAAGTCACAAGTTCTTTCGGAGCTGTTCTCTCAAGAGCAGTTTTCTCCAAGCTCTCCCTAGTCTCAACCCCACCTACCTCACAGGGTGTCTGTTGTGGGGAGAGGGAGGGAAAGGAGATTGTAAGCTGCTCTGAGACTCCTAATGAAGGGCAGGGTAAAAACCCAATCTCTTCTTCTTCTACAGACGTACCTTCCCCTAGTATTTATTTATTTATTGTATTTATTCTCCCTGTGTCCAGGCTCAGAGAGGGTAGCACCATAACAAAAAAAACCATTCTAAGGTGTAAGTACAATAAATATAATAAAACACCTAGTAATATATGATAAAACCCTAGTATTTATTTATTTATTTATTTTATTGGCTTGTATTTACTCTCCCTGTGTCCAGGCTCAGAGAGGGTAACACTGTAACAAAAAAACCATTCTAATGTGTAAGTACAATTAATATAATAAAACACCTAGTAATATATGATAAAACACATTATATTATAAATGAACACTATAATAAAAGATGGCGTGAAACTCAAGGGGGAGTGGTGTATAGTCTCTCTGGTCCAAAAGGGGAAGGAGAAATGGGAGGCCAAACTTTTCTAACAGAATGCGGGAAGGCACATATACTGGAAACTGAAGATTGTTATTTTGTGATGCACGGTTTTTAATATCTGCAATCTGATTAAAGATTTTGGATTATAATCTTCGCTTGTTTTTGTAATCGACAGTGATAACTCCCATACACAGAATTTTCTTCTTCTTTTTCACCTTTCTGGGTACCTAGCCTGCTCTTGGTTGGAATTTTCTCCCTCTGTTTTTCATTTGTTTTCGCAGGATGCAGGTATGGCTGGACTTGGGGAATTTTGCCCCTGAAGCAGAGACAGGAGGTCACTCGGTACTCGAGGCACTCTGTGCATGGTCAGAAGCACTCTCCCATTATGGCTTGACACTTTCCTGAGCTTCGGCTCAAATTAAGTCATGGCACTCGTCGTTTCATTCTCTCCCACCTCCCCCCCATCCCCGCCCACTTTCAAAACGTTTATGGCATCCCGTAAAAGCATTCCAAGTGGGCTTCCACCCTGCTTCAGTGTGGTTACTTAACGGTGCCATGGCAAGGGGGGGAGGGAATCTTTTCAGATCTCGGAAGCTAAGTGGGATCGGTATTCGGAAGGGAGACCAAGGCAGCGTCTGCAGAGGAAGGCAATGGCAAACCACCTCCAAGGCTCCCTCTAAACCGTAGAGTCCTGTGAGCAGAAATTCCACTTTGAGAGCTGCCGGCATTAAAGTTGTGAGCGGGCGATTTGGCTGCTGCATCGATCAGTTTGCCCTGGAGCCCTCCTCCCTGAGCTGAGACAAAAATGTGCGCCAGAGGCTAAACGTCTGCGAGCTGGCTCACACTAACTCAGCTTAGAGGAGACACCGACCCCCTCTGCTCCTCCCTTGCCTGGAAAGCCCCTTGCTGTGAAGCCCGACCTCATCACATCTCGGAAGCTAAGCAGGGCCAACCCTAGCAAGTACTTGGCAGGGAGACCATAGGAATACCAGGGCTGGGACACAGAGGTAGGCACATCAAACCGCCTCTCTGAAAATTTCAAAGACTCAGTACGGGTCGCCAGCAATGCCCCCTGTAAGCTGTGGAGTCTTGTGAGCAAAAATTCTACTTTGTGAGCTACCGGCATTCAAGCCGTGAGTGATCTGGCTGCTGCATAAATCAGTTTGCTCTGGAGCCCTCCTTCCTGAGCGAAGACAAAAAGGTGTGAACAGGAGGCTAACGGGAGCTGCAGTGGCTCAAGTGGTTGAGACGCTGAACTGCAGGCTGTGGAAGGTCGGTAGTTCAGCAGTTCAAGACCCGACTGTGCCGCATGACGGAGTGAGCTCCCGTCTCTAGTTCCAGCTCCTGCCAACCTAGCCGTTCGAAAGCAAGACATTGCAAGTAGATAAATAGGTACCGCTTCAGTGGGAAGGTAACAGTGTTCCGTGCGCCTCGGTGTTTAGTCATGCCGGCCACATGACCACGGAAACGTCTTCGGACAGCGCTGGCTCTTCGGCTTGGAAACGGAGATGAGCAACGCCACCCTAGAGTCGGATTCGACTGGCTTTCGAGCAAGGGAACTTTACCTAGGAGGCTAACAAATGGTGAGCTAGCTCACACAAACTCAGCTTAGAGGGAACTCTGGTTCTCACGATGTTTTCCCACCAGCACAGGTAAAAGAAACCTGGTGGTAATTCTGAGTAGGAAAGCTGTGTGAGGAACAGCTCTAAATAGTTGCTCCTCTTCCCCCCACCACTGGTCTCTCTCCTGAAATCACAGGATTTGCAGTCCCCTTCCGTTTCCTAAATATCATCAGGAAAACCGATCGTCAATCCACCCTATGATTCCCTTATCCAGCCCAGGTACCTCCAAGACAAGTCCCTGTTTTTTGATGTAGGTGGCTACCAATGTTCCCTCTAAGCTATGGAGTCTTGTGAGCAAAAATTGTGCTTTGTGAGCAACTGGCATTAAAGTTGCGAGCAAGTGATTTGGCTACTGCATAAATTAGTTTGCTCTGGAGCCCTCCTTCCTGAGCTAAGACAAAAATGTGTGGGCCGGAGGCTAAAAAACTGTGAGCTAGCTCACACCAACTCAGTTTAGAGGGAACACTGGTGGCTACCAATGCTCCCTCTAAGCTGTGGAGTCTCGTGAGCAAAAATTTTAGTTTGTGAGCTACTAGCATTCAAGTTGTGAGTGAGCAATTTGGCTACCGCATGAATTAGCTTGCTCTGGAGCCATCCTTCCTGAGCAAAGACAAAAATGTGTGAGCTGGAGGCTAAAAAACTGTGGGCTAGCTCACACTCACTCGGCTTAGAGGGAACACCGGCTCGGCAGAAGTCCCCGTGACTTCCAGACACACAAGCACACACAAATAATTTTTAAAAAGCCCCTTGCTGTGGTCAGCTTAAATCGATAGACGCACACCCGCACACATATTTGTCAATGGGGGGACATAGCCAATTCATTTAAAAGAATTCTGCACAAAGTAGGTTCCGGGAGAGACAGAAGAACTGCTCTCCCCGTGGGCTGACCCCACAACCACTGTGGATGGGGGAGAGGGGAAGCGGGGTCACATGAGGCTGCGCCCAACCACATGACACTCTGCCGCCTCCGGCATTTCCATTCACCCAAAACTGGCCGAGCTACGGAAACGATAAACACACATCCTGTCTCAACCCACAAATCCTCCCTCGGGAGAAAGAGAGGCCCGCCCCCTCGCAGCCCCAATGCACGCTGCACCCAGAGGAAGCAGCAAGGATCCTCTTCGCTCGGTTGTAGAGCTCTGCATGAAGAAGGTCTGAGCTTCGAATGCTGCCACGCCTGCTTCGAAAAGGACTGCAAACTAACAGAGCTGCGAAGGGCCTCTGCTTAGGTCTTGGGAGAGATTGTGCTAGTCGGAGTAAGCAGCCCAAGGCTAGAGAGACCCATGATGTGACTCTAAACACAGCAGCTTCTCAAAGATGCACGGAGGCATGCGTTTGTCAGGCTGCAAGGGTTAAAAAAAACCCCACCCTTCCCCCACTTCCGGAGCAGCGGCAGAGCTGAATTTGCAGAAAGCCACATCCGGCAGCAGTGTTTCCGCAGAGGCTGCAGTGCAGCACCGAAACCCCCTGTTTTATCCGCCCCCCGTCACACCCCGCAAGCCACCCCAGCACTCCTCAACCCTGCCCCTCCATTACGTACCTTTTCTCCTCGTCGGCAGAAATGGTGAGGCTGAAATTTCACAAGGGGGGGGGAGAGAGAGAGACAGAGAGAGAGAGATCACCAGCAAATCTCACGTTTGTGAATGGTTACATTTACACCAGCAGCGTGGCTAGCAGTTAGTGTCGGACTAGGCTCTGGGAGATGCAGGTTCAAATCCCGGTCTCTACCGTGGAACTCGCCGGGTGACCTTGGGCCAGTCGCACGCTCTCAGCCTAACCTACCTCGCAGGGTTGTTGTGAAGATAAAATGGGGAAGAGGAGAATGATGTAGGTGGGGCAGGAAGGAAGGAAGGAAGGAAGGAAGGAAGGAAGGAAGGAAGGAAGGAAGGAAGGAGAAGGAGAAGGAGAAGGAGAAGGAGGAGGAGGAGGAGGAGGAGGAGGAGGAGGAGAAGGAGGAGAAGAAGGAGGAGAAGAAGGAGAAGAAGAGGAGGAGGAGGAGATTAGTTTTAGACCCCGCCCTTCACTACCCAAGGGAGTATTAGAGCAGCTTACAAACTCCTTTCCCTTCCCCTCCCCACAACACACACCCTGTGAGGTAGGCGGGGCCGAGAGAGCTCTGACAGAAACTGCTCTTTTTCGAGAACAGCTGTGCCAGAACTACGGCTTGCCCAAGGTCATCCAGCCAGGTGCAAGTGGAGGAGTGGGGAACCAAACGCCGGTTCTCCCAGATTAGAGTCTGCGCACGTAACCAGTGCACCAAACTGGCTCTCCACCAAATAAAATATCGAGGAGCTCAGGGACGCCAGCACAGCTATTTCCGCCCCCAAGACCCAAATCTTCGCAACAACCCTGCAAGAGGAACCCGACTGCTGATGCAGGTCACCCCGCAGATTTCATGACTGAGCTAGACCTCGAACCCAGGATCCTCTGGTCCAAAGCCAACCCCCACCCTGGCAGCAGCTGCATCTCAGGCCCACCTCCGTCCCACCTGGCCGGCATCTCCACTCACCAATACTTCAGCCCCATCCTTGTTTAGTGAGACAGAGAGGCTCGAAAAGCGACTAAGCATGTTCTGCACTGAAAGATGTTACGAGACGCCTGGAGCAGAGACGTAGCGACCAGCGGTCCAAGCAAATGAAGAGGGGAACGGGGCAGGAGGGGAGGTTATAACACCCCCGGCAGGATGATGCAAGAGGAGGCAATCGTCTGGGAGGGGTGGAGGACAAGCCCCCCCCTCCTCCCCCCCTCCAGCTGTTTTCCATTATCTGGTAGAAACTTGGCAGCAAAGCAGGTGGGGAGGGGGGAGGGAGGCCACAGCCGGTCCCCTCCTAGGCCACGTCCCCCGGCTTCTCCGGGACCAGAGCCAGCGGCCGGTTCTTGGCTCGGATCCCGGTCCAGACTGGGACCCGCGCCAAGAAACAGAAGCTCAGCTCCTGGGAAAACGGGGAGGGGAGAGAGAGAGAGAGAGAAAGGCCACCCGGACGAAGACGCTGGCTGGTCCCGGAGGGGGACGCGTGGAAGGGGATGAAAAGGGAAAGCCAGAGAGGAAGCAAGATGGGAAGCGGGAAGGAAACGTTGGAGCAAGCAGGCGGGAAGAATAGAACAGTATGTGTGTGTGTGGGGGTTGATTCGTTTCCCCTCCCCCTCCTTATTCTCCCCCATTGGTATCATCCTGGAAGGGGGCAGAAGAGGGAGGGGACATTGATCTGGAGTTGGTCAGGAAGTCCCTTGCTCTGGTCCAGGGAGGAGGATGGGTGTGTCCAGGGGAGGGGCTGTAGCTCAGTGGTAGAGCATCTGCTTGGCCTGCAGAAGGTCCCATGTTCGATCCCCGGCATCTCCAGTTTAAAAGGGACAGGAAGTAGGTGATGGGAAAGACCTTCGCCTGAGACCCTGGAGAGCCATGAAATCGGGCTGTAGCTCAGTGGCAGAGCCTCTGCTTGGCATGCAGTAGGTCCCAGGTTCGATCCCCGGCATCACCAGTTGAAAGGACCAGGCAGGAGGGGATGGGAAAGACCTCCACCTGAGACCCTGGAGAGCCATGAAGTGGGGCTGTAGCTCAGTGGCAGAGCGTTTGTTTGGCAAGCAGAAGCCCACAGGTTCAATCCCAGGCATCTCCAGTTGGAAGGACCAGGCAGGAGGTGATGGGAAAGACCTCTGCCTGAGACCCTGGGGAGCCACAAAGTGAGGTTGTAGCTCATTGGCAGAGCCTCTGCTTGGCATGCAGAAGGGCCCAGGTTCAATCCCCGGCATCTCCAGTTAAAAGGACCAGGCAGTAGGGGATGGGAAAGACCTCTGCCTGAGTCCCTGGAGAGCCACTGCCAGTCAGAGTAGATAAGACTGACTTGGAATGGACTATTCAGTAGAAGGCAGCTTCATGCGTGTTCAGACATGTGTGTCTAAGGCCCAGGTTAGAGACCTGGCAGGAACCATTCACGGCCAGGGGAGAACTTGGATGGGCAGGTCCATCTACCAACCCGGGGGGGGGGGTGTTAATCAGACCCAGCAGACTCACTGCATCTCCTCCAGCTTGGCCAGCAGGGTCTCCGCCAGCTGCTTCTGCTTGGCCTCGCGGATCCATTTGTCTTTGGTCTGGTAACTTTCCAGTTCGCAGAGCTCTGGCTCGCCAGGGGTCATCCCCATCTTCCGTTTCTCCCTGTGGGGAAGAGAAGAAGAAGAAGAGATCGGATTTATACCCCCCCCTTCACTCGGAGTCTCGGAGCGGCTTACCAACTCCTTTCCCTTCCCCCTCTCCACAACAGACACACCTGTGAGGCAGGTGGGGCTGAGAGAGCTCTCTCGAGAACCGCCCTTGAGAGAACAGCTCTGAAAGAACTTGTGACTGACCCAAGGTCACACCAGTAGCTGCATGCGGAGGAGGAGTGGGGAAATCAAACCCAGTTCTCCCAGATTAGTCCGCTCTCTTAAACATTACATCAAACTGGCTGTCTGACCGTCAGTCTGCAACATTTCTGTCAGGAGAGCTGTTGAACAGGATGCCTTTTAGTCTCCACAGCCAGTCAGAGCTTGTGACTGACCCAAGGTCACCTAACTATACAACTCTGATCGTCAGTCTGCAACATTTCTGGCAGGAGAGCTGTTGAACGGGATGCCTTTTAGTCTCCACAGAACTTGTGACTGACCCAAGGTCACCCAGCTGGCTGCATGTGGAGGGGCCTGCAGTGAGATGCTCAAGAATGCTGGACGGCCCACCCTGAACGACAGCGTGCCGGTGCTTTCCTTCGGCAGGGACACCTGTTCAGGCCACCCCAAGCTTGCAACCCCAAAGCAGGCCCGTAGTTAGGATTTTTATGCCTTGTGGGGCAAAAACACTACTGGCGGTCCCGATGGGGTTGCCATTTTTTGGCCACGTGCCCTCTGCCGATCAGCTGAAGGGTCCTTTAAATCTTGCAGGAGGGCAGGG